TCGGCTCGTCGCATACTGCGCTGTGAACCTTCTGACTAGGGTGCCGAAACTATCAATGGACTCGGCAGGCAGTTGGGTATACCAGTTGAGCGCGACCCCCTTGAGCAAGGTTGGAAAAACCCTACATAAGATAGCGTCATTGTTAGTGTAGAGGTTTACCTGCGTCATATACAGGTCGATGAGCTCATCTGGGTCCGTCGTGCCACCATAGCGATCGAGGTGGAGAGGCTTCCACCCATGAGGAGTGGCGTCTCCATGATGCCATCCACAAAAGGGTGGCGGCGGAAGGTTGTCTGATCCCCTGCAACATGAGGAGGGGCCTTGCTGACATTCTAAATTAATGGGATATATTTTTTTTGTTCTTATCAGGCTGTGGGAAGGCGGAGAATTACTTGACAGAATTCTAGATAGGTAAATTTGAAAGGCTATTTTTCATTTGTACCATTTGTAGTTTTTGTCTCTGCATACTTTCTTTACAGAAGTTTGATTTTGATCACATGATTATAATTGAAATGTTTTGATCTTATTTGTTAAAGAGGTGGAAGATATCCAGAGGATGACGCGAAAGCTATTCTTGTACAAATTCTAGATGTAGTTGCATTTTGTCATCTTCAAGGAGTTGTTCATCGTGATTTAAAACCAGAGGTAATAGATTGTGAAATTTGAGCAACTTAGAATAATTTGGTTGTGCCTTTCATTGAATAAGCTATTTTATGTTTGCATAGTTACCTCTAATATCTTTTGCTTTGCAGAATTTTCTTTTTGTCTCAAAAGATGAGGATTCTGTGATGAGGATCAGTTGCAGTAAAAAAATTATTAAAAAAATTATTAAAAAAAAATTAAACATATAGATAGCGTTTATACAAGGATAGAGAGCACTGTGTAATGTAGAAACAGGATAGATAGTGTTTTGTTCGCTCATGGAAAACAGGATTTGCGGCAATGTGTAATGTAGATTGGTTGTCACAATATAGGAGAGTTGGAGCCTTAAAAGGAATTTGTAGATCTTGTAAAAGAAAAGTCAGCCACTGAATATCACAAGTAACAGATGCCATTGCCCTATACTCAGCTTCACAAGAGCTTCTTGATATTGTGCTTTGTTTCTTGGACTTCCAAGATATAAGTGAAGAGCCAAGATACACACTATATCCTGTGATTGATCTTCTAGTCTCTGAACATGAAGCCCAATCACTGTCATTGTATGCCGCCTTTAATTGAAGAGAAGGATCTGAAGAAAAAAAAATAGTCCAAGACCAGGAGCATTCTTAACATAACGAAGAATTCTCAAGGCTGCATCATAATGAGCAATAGATGGTTTAGAGATAAACTGTGCTAAGTGGTGGACAGAGAACATGATATCTGGTCTTGTGTTTGTTAGATACATAAGTCGTCCAAGGAGACGTCTATAAGCAAGAATATCAAAGAAAGGTTCCCCTATAGTAGATGAAAGTATCTTGGCATTGTCAATAGGAGTAGGTGTTGATTTGCATCCTAGAAGTCCAGCTTCAACTAGCAATTCTAATGCATATTTCCTTTGATTCATCAATATTCCTTGCTTGGTTCTTGCTATCTCAAAACCAAGAAAAAATCTCAATTCTCCCAAATCTTTTATACGAAAAGAATTATCAAGAGCCTATTTAATAACTAAAATTTCTTGATCATCATTACCAACTAAAATGATGTCATCCACATACACTAAGAGTGTTGTGAGTATATTTGATAAATAACGAATAGTTATGAGAAGATTGAACAAATCCAGTAGTAAGTAAGAATGATGATAATTTAGAAAACCACTCCCTACTTGTCTGCTTAAGACCATACAATGCCTTGTTAAGTTTATAGACTTGTCTTGGCAAAATAGAAGCTAGTCTAGGGGGAGCTATCATATAGACTTATTCCTTCAACTCTCCATGCAAAAAAGCATTATTAATGTTTAGTTGTTGAAGTTTCCAGTTAAGCACATAAGCAAGAGACAAGATCAATTTTACTGTTGTTATTTTTGCAATAGGAGAAAAAGTATCCAAATAGTCAATACCCTTAATTTGAGTATACCCTTTTTGCCACCAAACGAGCTTTATGCCTTTCAATGGTTCCATCTGCCTTGTATTTGATCTTGAATACCCATTTGCAACCAATAGGGATCTTTCCTTGTGGTAAATTTGTGACAGTCCGGGTCTGATTTGCATTGAGAGCCAATAGTTCAGCTTGAATACCCCTCTTCCAACAGTCATGTATAACAGCTTCATTATAATCCCTTGGCTCAACATGAGAAGACAAAGACATGATGTAAGATGACAAACATTTATAGGATAAAATAGAAGAAATTGGATAAAAATTATGTGATGATGAAATAGTGCTAACATTACAATAATAGTCTCTTAGATACCCAGATGGTCTTCTCATTCTAATATTAGTTTGGGGGTTATTTGTAATTGGTATGGCAATATCAGCAGGGTTATCTTCATTGGATGAAACAACCATGAGTGTGTTTGGATATTGAGGAGAAGAAGATATATTAGTCCCATCATCAGTGGGATGATGATTACAAGTGATTGGTTCAAGGTCAAAATTTGAAGAATGGCTCTGTTCTTGGGGAATGCTGTTAACTTGATCATTTTTCATTTTCAAATCAGAATAAGGAAACATGAGTTCATGAAATATTTCATTTCTTGATACAAGCAATTCTCTAGTTTGAACATTTAACAAAACAAATCCCTTAGTCCATGTCTTGAAACCAAGAAAAACACACAAGCATGCTCTTGGATCAAATTTTGTTTCTATTAACAAGAGAGCTACTTGCAAAACACAATGAACCAAAAACTTTTAACTGAGAAAAATCGGGTTCAGTTTTGTAAAGCATTTTATGTGGGGAAGAATTCTTTAAAACTGGAGTAGGTAACATGTTGATGATGTGGGAAACATGGATAACAACATATGACCAATATATTTTTGGAAAATTAGATTAAAGCATTAGAGATCTGGCTACATTCAATAAATGACCATGTTTCCTCTCCATAATGCCATTTTGTTCAGGGGTATAAGCATAAGAAGTGTGATGAATTATTCCCTTAGAAGCATAAAAATCATTCATACAAAACTCAGTTCCATTATCACTTCTTATGACTTTTATAACTGAATCAAATTGTGTTTTAATCAATGAAACAAAATTTTGTAGAATTTTTTGTTTCAGATTTTAGCTTTAAAAAGAAAGATATCCAAGTATATCGTGAATGGTCATCAACAATGGTCAAGAAGTACTTGTGTCCATGAATAGATGGAATGGAGTAAGGTCCCCATAAATCAACATGAATAAGATCAAAATATTTATTTGAAACAAAATTGCTAACAGGGAAAGAAAGTTTTCTTTGTTTAGCCAAATGGAAAATGTCACAAACATAAGATTTTTCATGGTTCACATGAGGGAACTTTCCCTTTATCACATCAAGACATTTATTTGAAACATGACCAAGACGAAAATGCCAAAGAGTGGAACCATCAATTGAAGCCAAGTTAACAGTAGTGGATGTATGGATGGATTATGAGTATATGGTAACAATTGATGAGAAGAGACCCTGAGTATGCAAAGGCTATCAAGAATGTTAGCTATACCAATCGTCTTTAAGGTAATCTTGTCCTGGATTTGACAATGAGTAGAATCAAATGTGAGAATAAAGGAAAGCTAGCAGTTAATTTTCCAATAGATAGTAAATTAAAACTATAACTAGGAATGTATAAGACATTATGAAGAACATGATCTAAGGTCAAAAACACACTACTAGAATAATTAGCAACAACCTTGTTTCCATTTGGTAATGTGACATGAATGGGTTTAATTTTATGATAAGAGGTAAAATGAGACAAACAGTAACAAATGTGATCAATAGCACCACTATCCAAAACCCAAGAACTAAAAGAAGAAGAGGTATTACCAATTTGTCCAGAATGATCAGAAGCTCCAGGTGTGGCCGAGACTTGGTTTGACACATGACTATTGTTAGAAATTGTGATTGCTGCAAGAGTGCTATTAAGCCTTGATATTGTTTCTCAGTGAAACCAAATTGTTGATGTCCCAAATGTTCCTTCAGCAGTCCAGATTCCTTTCGATCTACATCATTATTGTGGAATGAAGCATTCACATACACCTGACTCTTATTTTGATTCTATTTTGTAAATTTAAAATGAGGTGAAGATCCATGTTTCTTGTAGCATGTATCCATTGTATGTTCTGATTTTCCACAATGACTGCAAATTATGTTGCTATTGCCTTTACCACTATTTCTTCTGCCTCCTTTACCAGCAACAACCATCATCTTAGACTGCTCAACTGTGTCACCAAACATTTGCCTCTTTTGTTGAACCACCAAAGAAAAAACACGGTTGAGAGGTGGTAATGGGTCTAAGAGCGTGATTTGGGATTTTACAATAGAGTAGCTTTCATTCATCCCTCTAAAAAATTTGATCACCTGATCCTGAACCTTATACTTGTTAACATTGACATATGCAATAAAAGAGCATTTGACAGCACAACAACAAACAGGAAATGGTCGAAAAATTTCTAGCTCATCCCAAAGGATTTTTAACTCTGTGAAATAATCAGTAACACTTAACTCTCCTTGTTTGAGGGATGAGATAGTGTCCTATAGGTCAACAATCTGGAACAGATCACCATGAGAGAATCTCTCCTACAGGTTTCACCAAATTCTGAAAGCAGTGTCTCTCCAAATAACACTATGTGCAATGGATGATGAGAATGACCGAATGATCCAAGATACGACCATCATGTTGGCTAGATCTTTCCCAAGCTAGAAAAAGAGTATTGGAACGAGCAGGAGCAACAATGGTTCCATCAATGAAACCAAGCTTGTTCTTGGAAACAAGACTAATACGAAAGGAATGTGACCATTGTTGATAATTTGGTCCATCAAGAACAAAAGAAACAAGAACTAATGAAGGGTTTTCTGATGGATGAAGATAGTATTGTGAGGTGGGATCTTTAGAAGGGTCAATATTCATTGATGAATGTAGCAAACAAAGCTCTGATACCATAATAGAAAAAGAGCAAAGATGATATGAAAAACTTTCTGTATTTTCATTCATAAAAGAGGAATAGTGTTATCCTCAATATATACACACGAGAAGACAATTAACCTAACAAAATTTGTTACATATTGACCGATGAAAATAAAACAATTGTAGAAAAGAAAGAGAAAAGAATAAAAAAAGGAATCTTCGAGATTGCAAAAGATTGTTAAGCACCCTCTAGGGTGTCTTCCTTTTTCTCTAATATGTCTTATTTTGGTTTTCAGTTTCAATTTACTTAACCTTAACAATTGATACTTAGGTGTATGGTTTAGGGTTTAAAACACTAATTTATAGTCACAGATGTTTGTTATGCAATATTTCTTAACTACTATTATAGTTATTACTTATCTTTACCGGTTTTAAGTGATGAAAAATTGATATTTTGTACAATTATTTATCTTTACTTATTGATTGATCGGTAATTTAATATATTTTGAATCAATTATTGATTAATTTTATTTAATAAAATTATAGTTTTATTTTGTGAAGTGATAAAAAAAAGTAAAATAAAAAAATACTTCAAAAAAATAGGATGAACACCAGTCAAAAATTATTTCAACAAATACAAGCTAGTTCAAAATTATCTTTAATATATATATTTTTACTTTTAATTTCTTAAAATTTCTTACAAGTATTCGTGAACATTCATAGATATACTTAGATGGTAGCTAGATACCAAGATACTTAACTGAGTATGTGACAAAAAATTGTCTAGTTAAACTCAGACGGACGGTTCTCACTATATTGCCCCATTCCATTGTCATTCATATATACATGGGAGAATGTCATTACAGGGACTCATGTATATATATATATATATATAGTATATCAAGTGAGAGAGAATTTATTATGAGAGATGAGAGGGTTTAAATATAACCCTTAGATTAATTTTCTCTCACTTGATTAATCTAAGGGTTATATTTTAACCCTCTCATCTCTCATAATAAATTCTCTCTCACTTGATATACTATATATATATATATATATACATGAGTCCCTGTAATGACATTCTCCCATGTATATATGAATGACAATGGAATGGGGCAATATAGTGAGAACCGTCCGTCTGAGTTTAACTAGACAATTTTTTGTCACATACTCAGTTAAGTATCTTGGTATCTAGCTACCATCTAAGTATATCTATGAATGTTCACGAATATGAGGTATTCTATATAATGACTTTTATATTATTATTCAATCACAAATATCATATATATATATGTGTGTGTGTGTGTGTGTTGTGTTATTTTCTTTATTTAAATTGAATTAAAAATATTAATTAGATGATGAATTGTAATTTAGCATAATGTTTCCTCCATGAATATAATATAGTTTCCTTAACTTATTATGCGTATTTAAAAAAATTAAGTCTTTAATTATTTTTTTTTAAGTGAGCATTATAGTTCAAAATTGTCTCTATGGGAAAAAAATTCATTGACACAACAAGCATCGAAGAGAACACACACAAAATACATCACAATAAAAATAACAAAAGACATACTTTAAAAAAATAGGTAATTATTGGCAGTTTTTTTCTGGCGGGTTTAGTAAACCGCCAAAAAATGTTACTTTTGTGGCATACATATTAATCGTACGGGGAGGAATCAAATAAGACATGTATAACTTTTACTAACTAATATATTATATCACCCAATAACTTTTAATTAAATGATTATTTTTTTGAAATTTTCCATTAGATTAAAAGTTCCATTGTGACACCCTTACTACTCCAACACATATATTGTAATAATGTAATTAAAACTAACGAATAAAATTTTCAACGTTGATAAAAGGGTTCACATAAAACAATCATAGTTGTTCTTCAATATCCAAAATAATTAAAATAAAACTTGAAAAGTAAAACTCAAGAGTTTACAAATTATTTTCAAAAGAAAAGGTACAACTCCAAATACATATAAAATTTATATCCTAGAATCCTCTGCTTCGATGTCACAATACCAGAGCACACCCACAATTCAATTGTTGACATTCTAGATGTCACTCAAAGTCAGATCTTCCTCACCTAAAACATCCACAAATTATACGGTGAGAAAAAAAATATCTATATGTAAAGCACATAAGGAAAACACAACATATCATCTCATTATAACTTGATACTTAATAAAATATTCATAAACATTTCAATGTATCCTAATTCTATCAATCATGCATCATCATCACGTCACAATTCGCAATCACACCAATTATCACAAATCTTGCACTTCACACTATGTCAAGGTCACGCCACCTCCTGTAGCAACCCAAGGTCATGCTCACCCCTGATATAACATTGTGCCAAGGTCACGTTACCCCTGTAGCATATCTAGCCTAGGGTCATGCTCACCCCTGACATGTTATCCAAGGTCACGGTACCCATGTAACATTTCTTGCCCAAGATCGTGCTCACCCCTGATATAACATTGTGCCATGGTCACGTTACTCCTGTAGCATATCTAGCCCAGGGTCGTGCTCACCTCTGACATGTTATCCAAGGTCACGGTACCCATGTAACATTTCTTGCCTAAGGTCGTGCTCACCCTTGGTCATAAGTGTGAGGAACCACAATCACATCACATTCACATTCCACACAACAGACAAGTCCAACAAAATAATTGTTCACATACCCCTCAAGTAATTCACCATGAATTCACATCTAGATCATCAATTTTTATCATATAATATAACAATAACATTTATAAATTAATATAATACTCAACTAAATCACCAATTTAATAGAATCTTAATTTAAACAGTAAAACCCCCAATTTTTCCAAAACCTAACTCACATGCACATTTTTCTACAATTTCGTTCTCACTCCCAGATCATCATTTTTACAAATTATTGGCATATTCCTAATCCTTAATACATACAAAATTTAATAGGATCATCAATTTCTCAAACAGAAATAATTATAAAATTACTCATAATCCTACGGGCTTCCTCCTCTACCTAATTCCCTCATGTAACTTTACATATAAATAATTTCCTTTTCCCTCGTACCTCGATAAGTAGTAGCTGAAACTAAAGCAGGGATCTCATTGGTCTCCTCCTCTGAGTTTCTCTCGTCTTTAGAGAGTGTAGAAGGAAAAGAAGAGGGCAAAGAAGAAAAGAAGAGAGAAGTGAAAAGTGTGCTTTTGAGAGTGTCAGACAGCTCTATTTATAAACATCAGGAGTCTCTGGAACGGGCGTTTCAAATCCGCAACGGTCTGTTCTGGACTTTTACCTCATGTGTAAAATTCTCATCCAGAACGGCTCGTTCTACAACCAGAACGGCACGTTCTGGGATTACATTTTAACTCACAACGACCATATTTGGAATAACCCGTTCCGAATCCAAAACAGTCAGTTTTGAATCTAGAACGACCCGTTCTGAATCCACAACAAGGGTTATAGGTTATTTTTGTAGTCTAGAACGGCCCGTTCCATTTTGGGAACGACCCGTTCTGGGCTACTAAATAACACTTATTTTAGTAGTTTGGAACTGCCTGTTCCAATTTTGGAACGACCCGTTCTGGACTACTAAATCACATTATTAGGCTTTGGACCTTCATACAATATGTGAAAAATAGGTTGTGACACATCCATACTCTTAATCATATATACAAAATTTTATATGACTTTGAAATAATTCAATATCTCATTCAATATATATCAAACTTAACCTAATATATAAATTTTCAAAGAAAATGATTACACAAAAATAACTTCAAGAATTCACTTATTGTTAAATTAAAGATATTAAAATAATTGTTTTGAAATTTAAGGGATAGAGGAAAATAGCTCGTTTTATTTTTTGTCTTTACTTCGATTATTAAAATGATTACACACATCTGTAAAAAAAAATGATTACACAAAAATAACTTCAAGAATTCACTTATTGTTAAATTAAAGATATTAAAATAATTGTTAAATTAAAGATATTAAAATATTTTCAAGCTGAAATTGCGTTGGCTTAAGAATTAAGGTTTGTGTTTCATAGTTTCAAACGTGGGAGCAAACACGCTAGCCTCTGTAAGTTGCATGAATGGTTTATACAACATTCTAATGAAAATCATAGAACAATAGAGATACACAACATTCTGGTTTACTTGGGAAACAGACTAATGAAATTAAACTAGCTATGCTGAAAATTTTGCGACGGTTTATGACTAACTGTCGCAATGTTAAATTTGCGACGGTTTATGATTAACTGTCGCAATGTTAAACAAATTTTGCGACAGTTTATGATAAACCGTCGCAATGTTAAACAAATTTTGCGACGGTTTACGATAAACCGTCGCAATGTTGAACAATTTTGCGATGGTTTTGAAAAACTGTCGTATGAAGGGTCGCAATATCAAAGCGACGACGGTTTCTAGATAACCGTCGCAATTTGTCTGTCGCAATTTATCATTTTTCTTATAGTGAACTGT